TAATTCCAGAAATATCCACATCCGTCCCAATTCTATTGCGACATGCTTTTGAGAGTGGTTCCCAAAATTTATCTGTTTGGAGGCGCATTACTTTGGCACTTACTTTGTCGCTTTGATCGGAATCACTATCTTGGATTGACACTTCTTTCGTGGACTGCGAGAGACCGACCACATCTGCATCCGCTTCCGTTATCTATAATTATCTGGGATTGACCTTGTATAGCTGAAATAACTGCCATTCCATTGGCACCAATACGCAAGTGTCTAGTTACAAAACATGGCACTATGTACTTGTTTTTGGGTATATGGCAAGACTATTAGCGCACTAATTTATAGCTACAAAATAAAGATCAATTACCAATTATCTACCTACCGCAGCTGCATTGTGCATATCGAAAAGTGGGCGCATTGTGTGATGATGGTTGATGGAATGGTACGGTGGTGGTGGTGTGATTACGGTAGCTGTTGGAATGGAACATGACAGAAGGGAGCAGGCCAATGACGACGTAAGGTCGGGTACTAAAAGGAACAGCTTTGGCTGCTATGCCTTTGAGATTTATATTTGATTATGGAGCTGAAGAGAAGATAATAAGCTTGACAGGGATGTTTACTTCAATTCGTGACTTTGTGAAAACGGTAAGTCTTGTACAATATCTGATCGATTGTACTAAACAACATTACTACATCTTCTAAATCCATCGTTACATTTTATACATAGAAAAGTGATTATAGAGATGATATAGAGAGAAACGATGAGACAGAATCCTAACCTGGTATGTGACTGGCGCCTGCTGTAGATGGTATTGCTGAGGAGCACTGGATCATCAAGCTGTTCAAAGATGCAATTGGAGTAGCAATCAATTTGTGATAGGGAGTGTCGCTCACACGAGACATCTCTGATCTGAAACAGACGTAAACTGAATTTTTCGAAGTGCAAACTAAAGCAGTAAGGAAAGAACAATGACAAGAAAATATTTTTTGGTGCAGTTACTAGAAAGGTCAAGCTTATGAAAATGGTTTATGAGAACCTTGAAAGAAATGATGAAGGGACTGGTTATGTACTTACAGCTACCCAGAGGTTTCTACAGCGCCTCAAATTCAGCAGGGATTTGCCGAGTAGAGGAAAACTTTTACAAGTTATTTAACATTTCACTATTCTGCTTACTTCCGGACTACGTATTTCCTTGACAAACGCACACCGTAACGCGCTGATTTACGCAACACAAGTAAAGTTTCGGGTAAAGTCTATGAAGAGATAGCAAGGAGATGGCCACTGCAGAAGTTTTCAAAAATTCCAAAGAATCGTGAAAAGGCACATAATAGGCAACAGCGGCTAGGGTCACATATATATCATGATCGAAATCTATCTTTTTATTGAAAACCATTGAGTGATTACGTCTCCCTCCTTTACTTGCGAATATTGCAAAGATCTTCCGGAGAGCTTAGTAAAGACTTATTACAATTACTTAAGATGGAGAGCTTATTACAGGAAGGAAAGGCTAAGGATGTCTGCAGGCTTGTACATGTTTTCACTACATCCTATATAACTTTTCTCATTGTTGGTTTAGGCATAACAAAAAAAGAATTCTTGTAATTTTTTTGACTATGACACGCTATTGTAACATCGGTATTTCTGGCAGTGAACCTTATCTTAGTCTTCAAATCGCAGAGAGTAATTACTTCAGAACAAGACTAGTCTATGGAATGCTGAGGAGAGCTATTTTGAAAAAGAGTTACATTAGATTATTGGAAACTGATGTCACAATACGATGTGAGTTGTGAATTTGAAGCTCATAGGTAGTCGCAGTGATGAAAGTACCTCCTTTACCATGCTTTAGCCGTTAAAATTATTTGTTTTTCTAAAATTTCAAAGCTACTCTTACCTCCATTGTCGTATCTGATAAGACTTATGCAGAAAAGGTTTTAATTTGTGCAACATATGTGGGCATCAAAAACTTACAAATCTCTGATCTAACTCTTACGCAAAGAACATAGGGATGTCAAGTAACATGCAATAGTTTTCAACAATATTTTTGCTGTGCAAAACGAAAGCATACATCGAGATTTTGTAAACATTATATGCAATAAAACAATATTGAAACCTATGGAGATTAAGGTAAAATGGAACAAGAAAAGGAAAAAGTAAGACCTGAGCAACTTTCAAGCTCACCTAAAGACTTATAGCAATAGCAAGAAATGAAGCGCTGGTCGACACAAAATAGACACATTTCACAGGATAGAAATCTAAAGAAATGCTGGAGATAAAGTCGTATATAAGTTGATGCATTTATTATGCAGCTAAGTCAGGAGTTGTAAACAGCAGCATGCATTGACCGCGCTGCTAAATTTTGAACGACACCGATATATAATAAGTAAT